AAGCTCCCAGCACCCTCCCGCTGCAGGCTCAGGGACACCCGCACCTCCCGCTGACGCTCAGACCCCAAATGTTGCCGAATTCAGCCTCCAGCACCCTTTGAGCCCCCTCCTGACGGGTGGCGCTGGGGGACCGGGATGTGTCCCTGCCTCCAACACCCCCCTTGTCCCCCAGACCAGTACAGGGAGTACCAATGGATCGGCTTGAACGACCGGACCATCGAGGGRGATTTCCAGTGGTCAGACGGGAGTCCCTTGGTGAGTGGGGCTGCCAACCCTCGTGTGTCCCCACGGGGGGACACCACCCTGCCTGGCACCTCGTCATCCTCCTCCAGCACCGGGCTCCGGCCCCGGGGCCGGGATTTGAAGCTCCCAAACACAAGAGCCGCTTGCCTCACTCGGGYTGAGCATCCTCAGAGGAGCCGGACCCCGGGATTTGGGGTCCCAAGGCCATGCCATGAGGGCATGGAGGTGGGACCTCATTCCTGACAGGGATGTCACAGCCAGGAGGCTGCAGATGGGTGCGTGCTGGTGCAGGGACCCCCTCTTCCCCACTTAAGGGGTGTGCTGGGGTGCCCCGCGCACCCCGTCCCGCCTGTCCCCCCAGCTCTACGAGAACTGGCACCCCGGGCARCCCGACAGCTACTTCCTCTCCGGGGAGAACTGCGTGGTCATCGTGTGGCACGATGGAGGGCAGTGGAGCGACGTGCCCTGCAACTACCACCTCTCCTACACCTGCAAGATGGGGCTGGGTAAGCTGTGTCCCCAAAAAKGGGCTTCCCCACCATCCCCCAGCAGCGAAACAAATCCTGCGCACGGGACCCCCAGCTTGTTTGGGCATTCTGGGGGTTGCTCCAGGATTAAGGGGCGCTCACAGCCGGCTGCTCTGAGCCGACCCCCGCCCCTTGCAGTGCAGTGCGGGCCGCCCCCGGCGCTCAGCAACGCCCGCGCCTTTGGCAAACCAAAGCAGCGCTACGAGATCGGCTCCATCGCGCGGTACCAGTGCCGGCACGGCTTCTCCCCGCGCCGCTCGCCCATCGTCCGATGCCGGGAGGATGGCACATGGGAGCCGCCCCAGCTGGCCTGTCGTCCTGGTGTGTGACGGGCTCCTCCCGACCCCCCTGAACATGCCCGTGGAGCTTTGCCTTCACCTGGGTCTTCTTGTGTCCCCCCAGGCGTGGCTCATCCCCCTGAAAATTGAGTGAGTCCCCGGGGCACAGCCACCACCTGGCCAGAGTCTGGAGCTGGTGTGGATGGGGACRGCACTGGGACCCTGGCACAGAGCCCGGCGTGGTGTGAAACCTCCCTGCTGGGTGTCTGCCCCCTTGTTTGTTTTRTATCTGTACAAAGAAATCCTCATGGCTAAAGACCCCCTCGAAAGGAGCCGGCAGTGACCCGAAAYGCAGCACGACGGGAGTTTTGTTCCCAGAGTCACTACAGAGTTGAAATCAAAGGGGACACCGTGGGTGGGGGATGGCGGTGACGTGCCAGTGTCACCTCCAGCCACCTTCTCCCATCTCTGCCCCAGGGTCCTCATCCTGTGACCCCCATTTTTGGGGGGGGGGGGGTGTGACATGGGGACATCCAAGCTCTGCCTCAGCTCAGCACCCATCCTGGGAGGCAGGGGGGCTCCTGCACTTCCCAGGAAAGGCAGAAGCCACTGCTGCACGCTTGGAGTGGGTACATGCTGCCCAAACCCCCTCTCTGTGCTTCCGTGGGTATTAAAACCAGTGAAGAGATGGTGCAGAGTGGTGACCTGGTTATTTGGGGGGACCTGGCACAGGGATGGGACTGGCAAGGCTACACAGCCCCAAAACTGGGAGTGTGGCTGCACTGGAGAGCCTGGGCACAGAGACGTCCCCAGAGGCCACAGAAACAGGGGGACACAACTCAAAGTACCCCCACATCCCAGGGCACTGGGCACTGGTCAGGGCCTCCCAGCAAACACGTGGGGCTGGGAGGGCACATCACCAGTGCCAGGCCGCCTCCTTGTGCTGTTATTCCCCCTGCACTGGATCAGCTCCAGAGCTTTTTATAGTTCTCTTTTTATAGTTTATAGYATTGAACAGCAACACTCATAAAACCCTTAAAGTGAGGCTGGAACACAGATAACCCCTGGACAGGTTGCTGGGGATGGAAAACCCCTGTTGAATTCCCCTCACAGAGAGGCCAGATGGTCCCAGGGGAAGGAGCCAGGCGAGCACATGCCTTTGCCTTTGCACAGCTTTGCTGTTGCTTTATTAATTGAGAAGGCAACATATCATTAGTCACACTCGTTAATGCCCAGCCCGAGCACTCTGTGCTTGCAGCAGCCAGAGCCACTGGCCAGAGCCACCAGTTGGGGCCACCAGTGGTGCCACCAGTGGGGCCACCAGACACAGCCACCAATGGGGCCACCAGCCAGGGCCACCAGTGGTGCCACCAGTGGGGCCACCAGCCAGAGCCACCAGTGGTGCCACCAGCCAGAGCCACCAGTGGGGCCACCAGCCAGAGCCACCAGTGGTGCCACCAGTGGTGCCACCAGTGGGGCCACCAGCCAGAGCCACCAGTGGTGCCACCAGTGGTGCCACCAGTGGGGCCACCAGTGGGCCACCAGCCAGAGCCATGAGTGGGGCCACCAGCCAGGGCCACCAGCCCGAGCCACTAGCTGTGGTCACAGGCCAGAGCCACCAGAGTCCTCGTGGCTGCGGGGAGCGAGGATGGGGCAAGGGATTCACTGGGGTTTGGGAATGGGCAGCCTGTGCTGTTTGCTGAGGGGGATGGATTAGATCCCCCGTTCCTGGTCCAGCAGTGGGTCTGGCTTCTCCAGTAAGTCCCAAACACCCCACGAACCTCACAGCAGGGACGTGGGCACCCACTCCATCAGAGGATGCACTGAGCACCCAAATCCAGCTCTACCAGTTCACCAGAGGATGCACGAGCCACCCAAAACYGCTGGGAGACCACCCCTCCTACCCCGCCTCACGCTCTCTACCCAGGTGACGAGGGCTGGCATCCCAACACCGTCCCCTTTTCTCAGCCCACCTCTCCTCTCAGAGTTCTTACTTCCCCACGAAGCAGTAGGTGCCGTAGGTCCTCATCTCCTTGCTGGGGAAGCCGAAGCTGCGGACGCCGGGGTCGGGCARGCCCCCGCAGCGCTGGCGGGGTGTGGTGATGGGGTACCGGACRCTGCCGTCYGCCAGCCAGCCCCCGTCGCAGCGATCCAGCTGAGAGAACTTCCAGGCCGAGTAGAGCTGGCCCACTTTGGCCATGGCTGCCCCGTGGTTGCGACACGCTTGCCCAGCCTCCTTGAAGTTCAGGTGGCCCCGGATGAAATAAACCTGGCCTGGGGATGGGTGGGGACACCGCGGGTGAGCGGCCACCGCGATGTCATCCTGCAGATAGCCCCAGCCCTGGGGCTGGGTGGCACCATGAGAAGGACAGGGGACTGCACCAGTACCTTGAAGAGCGGAGGTGAAGCAGAAAGCATCGAAACGGTCCTTCTGCTTGTCCTTGGCACCGTAGGTCCGGACACCGGGCAGGAGGAGGCGGCCACCACATGGCTCCCGCGAGTTGATAATGGGGTAGTGGACGGTTCCGTCGAGGATCCAGCCAGCGTTGCACCAGTCCAGACCCTCTGTCCAGGCTGTGGGGTGAGAGGTGGCTCAGCACCGGCACTTCCCTCCTCCYAGTGCCCAGCCAYRTGCGGTTTTRGGCTGAAGAGGGATTTTTTTTTAAYRTTTCACCTTTGTACAGCTGCTGGTAGGTGGCAAGGCGGGAGTCCTGCTGCTCGCAGGCTCGCTTGGCTTCGTGGTAGTTGAATTTGTAGCGCCCGTTGCTGGGTTGGTAAGGGAACACGACACCTGGAGRGACAGGGACAGGGACAGGGTGAGGGAGATTCTCTTCCCGAGGAGATTCAGAGCTGAATTTAAGGCTGGGGAGTAGGACAATGCAATAGGGGATAGGGGTGGAGGCAGATAGCCACACCCCTCCAGCCCAGCCCASGGTCCCTCTCCTGCCTCATCCCCAGGAGACACAGCCCAACCTCACCCTCCAGGTGCAGCGTGAGCGAGATGCTCTCATCCTCCAGCCCGTTGACGAGCTGGCAGCGRTATCTCCCCTCGTCCTCCAGCGCCACGTCGGTGATGGTGAGCGAGGCGTCGTAGCGGTGGCTGTGCCGCAGGCGCACCCGCGGGCTCAGCGGCCCGTAGTTCTTGTGGTACATSCCGTTGGTGATGATGATGACGCTCTCGCCGTAGTTGGCCGGCTCCACCTTGCTCCACTTGACGCGGTAGTTGTGGGGCAGGGCGCGCAGGACGCAGGGCAGGGTGGCCGTGGCGCCGCGCTGCGTGTGCACCGTGGGGTGGAGGGGCTCCAGCAGGTACTGCAGGCGTGGCGGGGCTGCGACCCCCAGGCAAACTCAGCCACAATCCCTTCAACACCTCCCCAGCACCCTCTGATGGTTTCTATCACCCAYCCTGGCTCCTCTTCCTCTCTCCTGCATCTCAGGGAGCACAGCTCAGCCCCTGAGAACTTCTCTGCTCCAGCACTGACCCCAAACTGCAGTGCCCAGTCCCCTCTGCAGGGCCTGCTCCCTACACGGACCCCAAATCCTCCCTCCCAGGCCCTGATCCTTACCTAGTTCCAAATCCTACCCCTGCTCCCTACAGGGACCCCAAATCCTGACCTTTACCCAGCTCCATCCTCCCGCCAGGCCCTGTTCCCTACATGGATCCCAAATCCTCCCTCCCAGGTCCTGATCTTTACCCCAGCTCCAAATCCAGCCCCCAGACCCTGCTCCCTACAGGGACCCCACATCCTCCCTCCCAGTCCCTGATCCTTACCCTGGCTCCAAATTCTGCCCCTGCTCCCTTACACGGACCCCAAATCCTCCCTCCCAGGCCCTGACCTTTACCCCAGCTCCAAATCCTTCCCCTGCTTCCTACACAGACCCCAAATCCTCCCTCCCAGGCCCTGATCTTTATCCCAGCTCCAAATCCAGCCCCCAGACCCTGCTCCCTACATGGGTCCCAAATCCTCTCTCCCAGGCCCTGATCCTTACCCAGCTCCAAATCCTACCCTGCTCCCTACAGGGACCCCACATCCTGACCTTTATCCAGCTCCATCCTCCCACCAGGTCCTGCTCCCTACACAGACCCCAAATCCTCTCTCCCAGGCCCTGATCTTTACCCAGCTCCAAATCCTGTCCCAGACCCTGCTCCCTACACAGACCCCACATCCTGACCTTTACCCAGCCTCCATCCTCCCACCAGGCCTTCCTCCCTACACAGACCCCAAATCCTCCCTCACAGGCCCTGATCTTTACCCACGCTCCAAATCTTGCTCCTGCTCCCTACAGGGACCCCACATCCTTTCTCCCAGGCCCTGATCTTTATCCCAGCTCCAAATCCTGTCCCTGCTCCCTACACAGACCCCAAATCCTGACCTTTACCCAGCTCCAAATCCAGCCCCCAGACCCTGCTCCCTACAGGGACCCCACATCCTGACCTTTACCCAGCTCCACCCTCCCACCAGGCCCTGCTCCCTACAGGGACCCTACATCCTCCCTCCCAGGCCCTGATCTTTACCCCGGCTCCAAATCCTGCCCCTGCTCCCTACATGGACCCCACATCCTGATCTTTACCCCAGCTCCAAATCCAGTCCCCAGACCCTGCTCCCTACAGGGACCCCACATCCTGACCTTTACCCAGCTCCATCCTCCCACCAGGCCCTGCTCCCTACCTGGGGTCCCCGTCGGCCTCTGGAAGATGCCGGACACCGGGGGTGC